ATGGTAATGGATACATTGAATGGGAAGAGTTGGAGGTGGTCTGCGAAAATTTGGACAGGGATGAACTCGAACACATATTTGAGGTTAGAATTTTGTTTAAAACGGGATTTGCCTGACAAACACATTTGTGTCCCTAAAGTCCCTTTTCTTTTCTTATATTTTATAATTCAAGGCCCCGTCTTACAAAGAGTTGATATCAATCGCAACTTATTTGCAATTGATAGCAATCGCAACTATGTTCATAAGAGATAGGAGATTGCTAACTTGCGATTGATTGAAGGATTTTCGATTGATTTGTAAGACGGTGCCCAGATTTACTCTGCCGCCCATAAATTTGGAAGACTTTTCTTTAACCTCTTTTCATGAAATTATTGTTACAAGTATGACTTCTTCTTGATAGAAACAGCTTATAACTATCTTATCAGAACTTGATAAATCAATCTCTGTGAATCTTTGAATAGATCAATACAATTCTGAGAAGATTCTAAGCTTCATCTATCAAGAATTTATCATATCGTCACAATCAGCTTATGAAATGAGGTAAGAATACAATTACTATTCCAACTTTATGGATAACAGTTTACCCGACTGACAAAATTTATTTCATGATCTCGTTATTCTTAAACCTGGAGAGTAAAATCCTCACTCTTCTTCTATTTCAATCTTTATCTCGTATGTCCTTTCCCTTTTCCTGCCTCTTCTCATTTCATTGTAGATTTTTATTGCAATAAATAAAGAACTGTGCGTATTACTGTGTTTTATCGAACAAATGTTCAATGTATTGTATTTTAATGTAATTTTTCTATCCTTTATAAAATCAATTAGTTTTAGCCTTTGGCTTCTATTTGAAATATTATGTTCTTTTTAAGATAAATTAACCAGTTCCTATCAAATCGAATTCAAATTCAAACATACAAGCGTATTTTTAAGAATTCGATAAATTCAGGAAAACACAATGCACAGGTGAAATTACGCGGTTATAATTGATAATTAATTATCCTTTTGTTTCATTTAGGCATTAGATGGAGATGGCGACGGACGGATCAGTATAACAGATTTCACTGAAGGCTTTCACAGCGTCAGCGAGGCACTCCTTTCAGTCAGCCGTCGTAGGAGGCGTCAGCAGTATTTGGAGGATTGTGACAGTGAAGAGTTCGAGGTGTTTTTGCAGCAATTGGGACCTGACCTTGACCTTGTATCGTGGTGAGTCAGACTTGTTCTATTTAAAGCCCCTCTGCACTACGTATAGCTACTTGCGCCCTCTATATAGCGAACAATACCTAATTGGTGACCATTGGTCCCCCATGGTCCCCGTTTTCTTATGTTAATTGAGAGCTGTTTTGATGAGATAACCACCTGTCAGTGACCATGCAGGGAGGTCTAATCCCTCCTGGCTGAAGTAGTGCAGAGGGGCTTTGAACATTTACAGGGCTTTTTGTGGACGATAGAATTTTATATGGAAAGCGTAAATATATTCATTTGAATGTGAACAACGGGTTCTTCAATAAATCTTACCATATGATAAAAACTATCCAAAAACAAAAGCAACAAACAGTTAAAAGATATGTATATATACACATAAGAATAGACAGAAGAGAGGAAAAGATATCTAAAAGGAAAAAAATAGATAGAGATAGCGGAGAAAGAGAGAGAGAGGGGGGGGGGTGGTGTGGGGTAAGATATCTTGTGGAAAGTGGAGAGGGGCATTCATTTCCATAGAATTTATATGTTGTTTGATATGTGGGAGATGGGTGCAAAAGAATGCAAAAGTGGATGAGAGAAAGAGTAATGGGAGAGACAGAGAGAGAGAGAGAGACAGAGAGAGAGAGAAACAGAGAGAGAGAGAGAGAGAGGGGAGAGAGAAGGAGGGAATTGAGGAGAAATGTCGACTGCATAAAGTGATGGGACTAGTTCGATTTGATAAAATCTAGACAAATTGGCCTCAATAATAAATAAAGTTTTTACAGTGATTTGCTTTAATAGGTTTTTACCAGCATTATTCTAACAATGTGGGTTATTAATGCAATACATTAATATTGAATTTAAAGCCAAAGCAAAAGAGAGTTAAAATCCAGAGAAAATATCGAAGGCATAGAGCAATGGTACTAGTTCGATTATATACAAACTATAAAAATTGGCTGATTATAATATCATGAAATATCCAAAGTCTGGATAATAGATGTCAGTGATATTTCAATCTGTTGTGCTATAACGGGCTTTACCAGCATTATTCTAACAATGAAGCTTATGAATATGGATGACTTTAATATTCAATCTAAAGCCAATCGAGTGTGAGCCAGAGAAGGTCGTGATAAACAGCTCTACACTTATTATGCATTACAAAATGCTTTAAAATATTGGTTAAAATCGTATATTGGCAGATTCAAGCTAAATTGTCCCTTATGTTACCACACGCAATATGGGTAATTCCATAAATAAGGGACCCACTTTGTTACATTTTCGATGTTCTTCTTACATAAGGATCCCACACGTATTTATGGCTCTGAGTAAAGACTAAAATAGTGGAGTGAGATTGTAAAGTGTTTTCCAAGCATAACATCATACCTAGAATCACTTAACAATCATACTCCACTATTTAAATCCTTACTCAGAGCCACAGGGACACCAAAAATGTCACAAAGTGGGTCAATAATAATGGAATTACCCGTATCCAATCAGTAGATGAGGTTCATCAGAGTACTACAGCTCGAATTAGACCAAACCTATCCACCTTTATATCCACCAGATATGCCATAGCTTGGAGGCCTTTAGGGCGATATTATAATAGACCTTAAGACACAGGTTCTCCATAACTTCCTGTCTTCAGCTGTTCTTTATAGCTGCTCAAATTACATTCCCGTCCACTGCTTCTTGTTATCAATCCATGTCCTAATTGGTCTGCCCTCATTTCTTCTGCCATCAACAGTTCCTGCTTGCAAGATGGTGTTTTCCAAGCTATTCTTCCATCTAGTTACATGCCAAAACCGCTGTACACGTAGCTGTCTTCTTTTCACAATTGTGATATTGTGGTCAAACACCAAAAACAAAGACCAAATACATTGTATTAAATTACATTTAATGTCAATATCTGCTTTGAGCTCCGCATATGACGTTTTACTTTGAACTGACCATTTCGTATTATTACAAGAAAAACAAAAACAATAAAATTACATACAGACACCATATTTTATTTCAGATGTAATACAGCAAGATTCAATTGGAATACTCATATTCAGATTCAGATTTTATTGTCCACGTTAAAAAAACACAGAAATTTGGTCTCCACTGGCAGGAAATAACAATGAATAACATAAGAATACATAAATGTGCACAAGGCAAGTACATCAATTATTTTTTACAAACAGTTGAATACATTCTGACAAAAGTAAGAGGAGATATCAGAGTAAGATGAGAAAAGGAATGAAGCAGACATAACAACTCTTACTTCTTTTTTTCAAATAGAAGAAACATTTTTCAATCATTCATACAATGATACAATTATTTCATTTTGAGGGCTATTACTCGACCACAGCGCTATTTATCAACAGTATATTACATAGTAACATAATAATATCAGAAGGTAATTGGCTTTCGCACATCATCCCAACTTGTTTAATATAACGTTATTCGAATAAAATGTACTGAATTACTTCAATATAGTTCAAACACTACGACAGATGTGCAGATTTTAGACATTTTAGACAAGAATAATCGGAACAAATATATTTTTCACATACTTATAAAATTGCACGAACTTCTCATTACCAGGTAGAATCATCTCAGAGAGTTTATGATTAGAGTAATTCATAACTGACATATAAATATGCGATTCCATGACACCCACTTTATCCATCTATATCAGTACTGCGCAGCTGACGTGTTGACGTATTTTTTCTGAGACACCTTATACATATGAAGAGTTTAATTCCAAAAGGAGCTAAATCCATTTTGTAACTTAAGAAAACGAAGAAAAAAATGTTTACCAGATTGTACAGGCATCTATGGAAAGTGATATTAGAAAGTCCATTTGTTCATAATTACTCTCAAAATGTAGGTAAAGAATTTTGTTGAAAGACAGGTATTTAAGTGAACAATGTTCTGATATCAATAACTCAATTTTCACCAGGAGTGGATTTAGCTCCTTTTGGAATTAAGCTCTTCATATATGCGAACACCTGTTGCTTCTTCTAGCGTTTGTATATATTTTGTGCTCTGTTTACCTTCCTATAGGTTTACACGTAGAGATGTACTTACTACGCATAGTGTGGTTTGTGTGTGGTTTGAGTAATACAGCAAATATCACATGATCACGCCAGGCCTTCAAGATTTTTAGCATCTGATACGAATAATAATATCGGCTTATCCCTCCTGATATGTTTTCGCCCTAAGTAGCATCAAACTATCTTTTTTCATGAAGTCCGTCTTTTGTTTTGTTAATATCTAAACCCATTCTATTTTTTCTCGTAAATTCTCGAAGTGGGTTAGTCTGATTTACTTTTCTCTCCTTTCTTGTGAATAGAAATAAAAGATATAATTTTATATTCTTTGTCAAATTGATGAATGATCAAATTGTTAACAAAACCATTTACTGCTCTATTATCTAAAAGCTAAGGACTGGATAAAAGCTATACCATATTTTTCTGAGGTCCAAATAGTTTGTGTTGTTTCGTTCCTTTTCATCTATATCCATTGATATCACTGATATACTCATTGTTATGGTAGAGATGAATCTTCAAGTTTCAAAATGGGATCTTCTTCGTGTTTTTATTTTTTTACAAAGAGGAAAATGGAGTCATCCAATGAGGATTTTTGTTTCCATGGTATTTGACATTAATGTCTCCTATGTCCAGACAACTAGATGCTATATTATTATATTTCATATAGCTTCGCATAACTATAATATCATAACATTATACAGATAAATGTATAATATCTATCATGACATGGCTTGCGTGTATGCGCACGAGGCATGCGCGCCAAATCTGCGTCAGTTGCTTGAAAGCCCGGCTGTTCAAAGAAAAACCAATACCCCAAGGTATAATATTTATAACACACGTCATATATTTACGTCGATATAGGTTGAAGTTTGGTTTAGGGTTCAACCCGGCTAGAACAAACTCGCCTTGCCTGGTATATACACGACCGCCAATCATCAAATAGATCGGAAAGGCATATATCGACGTCAAAGAACTCTAGCTAGCCAATTTAACAAGAATATCTACAGATCATCAATTGAAGAACGGCCACATTTTAGCATTTTTAAGTTGACAACACGGATTACGTTTCATGCCGCAACAGGTCTTTTAATTAACAACGGATTTTAGTCCACGCGTTATAAATCCCGACCGACCTCAATTGCGACATCTCGCAACAGATGTGGCATATTTACCACCACTAGGTCGAAAGATAAAGGCGACATTTGCCATTTTGCGTTGGAATAAGCATGGGCGTCTTAGATGGGAGCGGAAACGGTAGTCGATCGTCTTGTTTATGATTTCGTTTGGAAGAAAGGAAACCTTCGAAACTCTTCTGAGTTTGGATTTTAATTTGGAAATACATTGAGGGATGTTTGCTGGCAAGAAAGGATCTCTTCAGTGATTTTCTTGCTTTGAAGCTGCGTCTATTTTCATTGTGATATGATTATGTCGAATCCATTTCTCCAGGCGACAAGTTTGTGCCAAGCAATTATTGTTCAAGGTATTGTATGCGTGGATAACCCGTGAAGTTCTCAAACATCACACAGCCTTTAAACGATTCCCGTCATCGTTTTTTTTTTAAACTTCACATGAACAGAAAAGTTTTAAACTAAAGTGAGAGAGAGGGAAATATCTACACGACTATTTTAAGATCCTGAGACATTTGAAATTATCTCCTGTTTTATCATAATTTGTTTCCGAATTCTGATAACTGGACATTTACCAAGATGGGCTCGTACGGATAATTTAACGACATTCTGCATTTAAGTAAATAATTGAATGGATTGTTTTAGTACGTAACCCTGTACGAAACCATGGACGATTCACGAATCCGCCACCTCTTCGAAGTCTGCGACCTCAACGGTAGCGGATACATCGAGTACGACGATCTCCGTGATATATGTTTAGGGAGCGATCTCGAGATCACGGACGCGGAGCTCGGCAGCGTCTTCGACGAACTCGACACCGACCGCGATGGGAAGATAAGCGCTGAGGAGTTCGAGCAGGGCTTCCAAGGGGTAGAGGAACTCCTCCGACGGAAAGTGAAGAGCAGTGGCGGTAGTGGTGGTGGTGGAGGGGTGTCGAGAGGGGGGCAAGACGGAGTGGATGGGGGTAAAGATGGACCGAGGAGGGGGCAGAAAAGGGGTGAGAACAATAACGGTGTGACTGGTAAAGATGGAAAGGTTACCCCAGCCTACACGGCGTGGCAAGGTCTGGTTACCAGCCTCGGACCTGGTGTTACACTCTTGCCAAGGTGCGTACCTCAACAGGAGTCATCAAAATTTTATCTTTACCATTTCGAGACAATCATCATTTATTTCATTTTTTGGCACTTGGCTTATTAAGTTATAATTCAGAGACTTAAGATCATCTCAGATTCATGAACAAAATGAGTTTGTCCATTGTTGTTGCATGACCACATTGAGCTTGATTTCAGGAATTTGAAAAGGGAAAAATAAGCTTTAAAATTCTTAATTGGCAACACGTACGTTGAGGGTTCAGAATCGTCGACTTATAAATCAAAACGGCTATTTTATTCAACTTTTAACACGATAGCTAAACATGTATGTTTTTTTCAAAGACATTACATTTGATTAGAACTGTGAAGAAGTAAATGGTAACAAATATGACCTGCCAATTTCAAGAACAACGTAAGATGAATTAAGCCGTTTAAAAGCCCTGTCCTGACCATGAGGATCTAATAAATCTCTGATAACCTTTTTTTTGGTATTTGAATTATACTTGCCGTACTTATACTGTTTATACCTCAAATCTTATTTTAAGATTTGCGTCCTCATTACCACTGACATTAAAGCTATTATGTTAGTGATCCTGAAACATCGAGGGTTTTCGCGATCTTAATTGGATCAAACAATAATATTGCTACTATGTCAAAGTTTATCACTTCATAACCCTCGTTATAATCTTATGCGTTCATCATTTTGTAAAAAGTTTGCAATGAATGATTTTCTTCAATTATTGCTCAAATCTAAGTTCAATACCTGTTCAGTTTATTGCTTGTTCCGGGTTTAATATTGCATGTACGGGTGAGGAATCCGGGACAAAACAGATTGAGGGGGTGTGGGGTGTTAGTATTACGGGACCATAATATAGTTGGTTAACCACACAATCGTATATGCGTCTTACCACACAAATGTGGCCCCCGTTCCATTATGGACACGAATCACCCTTTTTAACCCGTTGACTACTGAATTATCTAATTCCTATAGACTTAACACAGGAACAACCAGGTTCAAGTAAGCAATGGGTTAAAATGTTGTATAGTACTTCTTTTATTCTCCTCCGAACAGGGAATGACAGGGTGACTCTGATCACTGTGATATTTTTCTCCTTTTTAAGAGAAAAAGATGACCCCCCCCCCCCCCTCCCTGTTCAGAATCACCTTAATGGTTTTGAATGCCCTCGGCAGTATTCCAAAAGTATTGGTGCTTAGTTTTCAAGTTCAATAAAAAAAATTGTATGACGTTTTATGAGTCCATGCATGATGATTTTGAAAAGGATAGCAGGTATTGTTAAGCAGTCGAGCAGTACTCGAAAGTGACAGATGTTCTAACTAAACGACATTTGATATAATTGGATACACTTCTGTGTTTTGAACAATAATGTTAGTTCACATTCACACACGTTGTACATGCTTTAAAAATACTCCGATAACAACCATTAGTAAAGAGGGCATAACCCCAATGGAAAATACTGAAAATGTATTATTAACTTTGTAGTGTTATCATCCCAAACTGAAAGAGATTGCTCTTGGAGTGTCCCAATATTGCAATTTATGACAAGAAGTAACTCATCACTTTGGGTTGAGAGAGACTGTGAGAGAGGGAAAGAGAGAGAGAGAGAGAGAGAGAGAGAGAGAGAGGGGGGGGGGGTCTTGATAAATAGCACCGAAATCAACCAGTCTGTGGTCATTTAAATTGCTGTAAAACTCCAGATGATATTTGAAAATGAGAATGAGAAATAAAGTGAACTGGTGGAGGTGCAAAAAAATGGAAGAAATTAGGCAAGATATGAATTAAAGAATTTGCGATTAATCAAACGTGAACGAGCAACTCTGCAATGTACTTTATTAAGCAGCTAGACTTTTTGTTGTGAAATATGATTCGTTTCTAGAAGTTAAATAATATATGCTGTGCAAGGGGGTCATCACAAGCCTGTTAGTCGAATACCATTCGTGCAGCGATGTGTATAGTGTTTTATAGGGCAGTGATATTTATGAAATCATGAAGAGGAAAAAAGAAAAAATATCAAATCGCAGAGAAATCCCCTTCCTCCTAAAAAAAATGTCTTATTTTATTAAACTCTGTCCTCCATAACACTTTTCTAAACTCCCGACCTAATTGGTTTGTCCGCTTTTTAATCAAATCTATGTTATTACCAACACTAGTACCTACATCATGAAAGGAAGGTCATTCCTTTAAAGAATCAACCTGAAATAAAAACAAAATCTATTCCAGTATGATGTTAAAGAGAAGGTTGGGTTCTGGGAGGAGGTGAAAAATAATATGTGAGCGTTATCATTGTTATTTTGCAAGTGTGGAAGAACATCATAACAAATGTTCCCTGAAAAGTATGGCTCTTCAAATGCCTCAATATTCTAAATATGGCATTTAACAGCATAAAAATCGGGACGGATTTTTAAGCCACATGTTTGTGTATTCCCATATAGATGATTCCAGAACCTCGCAGTACACACCAATACTGATATGCTAGATGATCAACCTTTTTTGATCAATTCCACACCGTCTTTTTCACAATAGAATCTCATGACAAGAACTCAATTTTATCTTTAAGTGCATTCACTTTCTTAAATTATTTCTTGTTAAGAAGATAAAAAAGAAATATCAGAAATTCATTGAAATCCGCAAAGGAGCAAGCTGAAATTCATGTTTAGAATTTACTGATTGTAATGGAAAGAAAGCTAGAGGTTCTTATAAATTGAGAACCTGTCAGTTATGAAATGAAACACAACTTCAAATATAAGCCTGCATACATGGTATTCAATGCGGTTTACACCAAACTACCAGTTGCGCGTGTTACCGTGAACTATGGCATATTCGTGTGGCGCCATATGGAACGTTCTCATGCATAATGTATAGGCTAAACGTGAGGTTGGAGGTGTTTGTTTAATAGCACCAATGTAATGAGAAATTGTGCGATTGTTTTATAATCCCACCAAGGGTGTGGGTGTATGAGATACCCAGTTTACAGTACAACACATGTAGTAGAGTGTTGTTATGATAAAATATGATGATATCGAAATGCCGGGCTAATTATGATTACAGGGCCATCAAGGAGAACGGTATTAATTAATGCCGATGAGGCTACCCTCGGTAAACGAGACTTAACTATTGTTATTATTGTTGTTGTTGTTATTATTATTCCATTTAATATGATATGAGTTATGCGTTATAACACCCGGATAAATAAGTATCGTTGTGAAAATAATACCAAGTTTTTATATGGCACACACCTATGACAGTTAACGTGGAAATGCCATTAGAAATATTATAAGTTATTTTTAATTTTACCCGAGTGAGTCCGGGTATTGCAACATTTTACACTTGTGTTGGAGGTGACATCTGACACGAAATTTAATTAGCGATATATATACATATATTTCTATGAATAGAACGCGATCCTACTAAAGCAATTATGGAAGTATTTACCCCCTTGTAGAAACGTTAATTTTACTGCCTTATCTATAGATAATGAGGAAAATAAAGTGTAAATTATTTTAAAATGTCCAAGAAATCCATGAAAATGATTACTAATTGAATTATTCCACGTCAGTCACCGGTTTTCGATAAGATTTTAACATTCTTACATACAAAATGCATTTTAAATTTTAGAAGTTTACAAAGAAATACATTTGTCTATGGAGAAAAGGACATGTTGCACAAATGATGCAGGAATGTTAGGTTAGATGATATTAGAATGAAGTATACAATAGATACAAATGTAGAAGACACATAAGATAAGAGCAGCTGTTGTAAGCCCAAAACGGACTAGACTTTGGACATATCAGCATGGTTTCAAAACATGATTCACTTGTTGCAGAGTTCAAGATGGTGCATGGTCTCTTCATAGTCTCCTCCATCCGTTTCGAGATCCTCCGTTTCGAGATCCTCCTTTTCGAGATCATCCTTTTCGAGATCTTCCTTTTCGAGATCATCCTGTTGCGGACCAAGACTGTTATAGAGAACAGTTTTTAAATACGTCTACATTTAGAAAATGTCATGATAGAAAACATGCTGTTTTTTCTTTAAAAATTTTGTCCATCTGATATAGTACAGACTGTTGCGGATCAGGGCTGAAATAGATTAGAATTTTGAATACGGCTACTCTAAAACAAATGTAATTGTTGAAAACATGCTAGATTCACTTTAAAGACACTGATATCCTTTCCCCCATCTTAATAATACAGATTGTTGCAGAACAAGGACGTTAAATAAGTTAAAGCACGGCTATTTGTAGAAAATTTGATAGTGGAAAGCATGCTATATTTTCGTTAAAAACATAGATTTAATTTCTTTCATCTGAATAAGTAAATCTCTGTTTTCAGTGAATTTCATTGACTGAAATGAAGTTGAGTCGCAATATATCATAACAAGTATAGGTTTTCCCGCCCAACTTCGTAAACTTAGCATCCGAATTAACGTTACGTTCATTCAAGTTCGTGCGAAATTGAATGACTATGTAGATCAACATTCAAATACCTAATTGCCTCGTTCAATTTGATTTAGGAGAATGCGATTTCATACTCTTGTCACGGAGACGTGCAAAACGAGCGTTCAATTTAGAAAAGCGTGCAAAGAGCATTCAAATTCGCGCCGGACAAACTGTTGGTGGTATGTGTTCGTGCATTCAATTTCGGGAATAGGCATACATATGTGGCATTTGTGCATTGCTTTTCATTTTATGCTTATGTTTTACTTAATATACTTCTGTTTGAATAATTTTATGCAAAGTTTATTTGTAGGAATATCATGCGTATTCATTGGTAGATATCTGTCATTACACAGGTAGCTGTCCCCAGAGGAGGTGCACAATTTGTGACTTATCTTCTAAGCACAAGCTATAAAACACAGATCGTGGATAGCGGGAGAGTTAAGCTTTAAACATGGACATGATGGAAATAAAATACAATGATGAATAAAGACAAAGATGTCACATGCAAAGAAAGAAAGATAACCTACTCAATCAATATTGGTCAAAACAAACCATTAAAATAACATCCGTAATATAACAAATATAAAGACAAGTTTAAAGAAATGCTTCGACAAAAATAAAGATCGAAAGAAAGAAAAAACATTAAATGCAATATAAATGTATCCGACAAATAAGAAGATTGTATAATGTCAAACCACGGTTAGAAAAGATCATAGATCAAATAAATGAACATGAAAAAGTAATTTTTCGTACAACCATCGAGCCTCAAACAATGATTATGAGGTCTAGTTTTAATTTGAATGACCCGATTGCGAAAGAGTTTGCCCATAGACGAAAATGAAACCGCAATTCGCCAAAGAATTCTCCTCCCACTCAACATTGGCGAAATTGAATGACGCTTATGCGTTTCTAAATTGACTGAACTAAGCTTTAATTTGAATGTGCATGTTTAGAAAATTCAGAGACTCGAAACGAAATTGAATGCACAATGTTTAAAAATGAAACAGGGGAGCAACGAGTGGAAAAAATTCGCTCAAAAATGAATGCACGTTAGTGAAATTGACCGCTGCTTTGACGAAATTGGCCAGGAAAACCTATATTTGAGTACATGACATCAGCCCGATTTTGATGGTTGAACCATGTTATTTGGTACATCTTACAAACATTTTCTTTCCACCATTCATTGAATTCCATTGGCATTTTTTAAATTCACAATTTTGATCATCAAATGTGTAATATTCTACAACATTCTTTTGTTGCCTAGCATGAGTTATCAGAGGTATAAGAATTATAATTTGTCTTTGTAACAGTAAATTGTTATCAAACCATTCAATATTTATATTCACATACATCTGATTGGAGTTTAGCCCTTATCCATGCAAAACCAAAGTATATCGAGTAAAGTAAGACATATTATAGGAAGATGCAACAATATACATTATATTAGTAAAGAGATATATATTAGGTTGGAGTGAATCGCCCCTTAAATCACATACGCGTAGCGGCTTTTCTATGAAACACGCCCGTGAAGGTATTTAGTATGCACGTGTAGGAAATATTCAATCGATAACCTCCTTGATAATGAAATCGTTTTATTGTTTTTGAATGGATGATAATACGTAGGCCGATTGTCAGTTCATTTTGGATTCCCAGTATGAGCATCGTGTTAATGGAATGTGAATCAGGCCTTCGTGTTTCAATGCAATTCAACTGAAAATGTCAGATGGAGACAGCAAGACCTGTCAAACTATTTATTGTATTATTTTATATGTCTAGCATGAGCTGTGCCGTGCCTTATGAAAACGTCAGACGGACAAAATATTTACAAGTACAGTATTTGACATTTAACATAAGTCCTCAAAGACCACTCTAGAAAGCAAATAGTGCATATCCCCCGGGATAAGGGCAAGGACTAGGTAAAAGGTTCCATTTTCTGGTCACCGTCCGGCATGCAAATCATTTCCTTTGTCTAGTTGGATGTTGCTATAGTTCCTTACAATCAAAACAAAAATACTTACTCATTATGCAAATACTCAAAAAATCCATACGAAATGTTATTAAAGAGAAATTATTCCAAATCATTCCAACGATACGCCCTATTAAAGGCCGTTCACACTTAAAACTAACCCCAACAATACTTTTCGCCATGCTGCATTTCAAGTCCTAAGGTATTTCGTAATTCTAAGTTTCTCGTCAATAACTGCAACAATGAGAAGTGAACATTATTTCACTGTGAATTTAAGGTTCCATTTACATATCCCCATTAAAAAGTCAACACAGATGCACTGTATTAAAGTTGATTTTAACAAGTAAAAGAGTATTATGCCCTATATATTTGCGGCAATGGATATTTATCATATAATATTGATATTTGAAATGTCATGAATATGTCATATGAAAATTGTATAAGCGAGATTTTAGCATGAATGCAGTCCTTCCCTCTCGACTCTAAATAGTTAAGACGAGAAACACCCCAGTGTGCAAATGTAGGAATACCATTCATTTGATGTCAACACTTTCCTTTACTGTCATTGACATTAGGGATATTATCAATATTTCATAAGAAGATTTTATCGGAAAATATAAAGCTTATCACATTGCATTCCCCTATCCTTTAGAAGAAAAACGCACCAGTATGTGTGTTATGCATGTTTGTCTTTCATTGAATGTCAACACATTCCTTCATTGTTGTTGACATTAGAAATGTCATGAATACTTCAAATGGAGATTCTATAATGTTAAATACAAACATCATCATACTGTATTCCTCTACCCTTTAAAGGTAATACAAAGTTTTGGTATGGGGTCATGAAGTTGGTTCAAATGAACTTATTGGAAGCACATGCGATCCTACAATATTCAGTGATCGTTGTCGCGGTTGAAATCGAATCTAAAGTTATGAAATTTTGAATAATAAACTTTTTATGTTGTATAGCTCCCTCTCAAGGTCTAGATATTAATTTAGCTATAAAACAATATTTCTCGACTAAAATCGACTAATTAGCTCTTCCCGTTTTGAAATTATTTATCAAGCCCCCCCCCCCTTTTTTTTTTAGGGAAGTTCTAAATTAGTATTATCTTTCAAATGCCGTTGGATTTAATCTTTTCATATTTTGGGCTGCAAAATGGGACATAGTTAAGAAGAGAAACGCACCTGTATGTGTGTGGTTACCTTTCTTTCATTGTCATCACACACCTTTACTGCCGTTTGCATGAGACATTTCAATAATATTTCAAATTAATGAGCTAAGAAGAGAAAAACATCAGTATGTATTTAAATGTATGGTTATCTCAAATTGAATGTCAACCTACTGTCGTATTATCATTGGCGGACAGATATGACCTTAAATAGACTTTTCCCCCTCGGCTTTAACGAGATAAGACGTGAAACGCACCTGTGGGTAAATGTATGGTTATCTTACCTCGAATGTCAACATACTCCAAAATTATTGTTTACATAAGAAAGGTCGAAGCGGTTGAAATACGGCGATAATGAGATGTATGCTTGTGGTACATTTGATTTAAATGTATTATGAAACATATGCAAGGGAATTCCATGAAAGCGGACTCGAAATTCAATACTGTGTATGTATGTGTGTGAGTGAGTGTGTGGGGTGTGTGTTTGGGTGTGGGGTTGCTTGAGTGTACTTGTGCAAGTGTTTGATTTTAGGGTTTGTATATACACTTTAACATACTAATATACATATGATTATATATTTCCACTGACAATATACCACACATAGATATCACAATATTACACACATTAGATGTATATATATTATTCGTATTTAAATTCATATCCTTATTTTATATTATCGTTTTTCCAATATCAAAACACTTGTTAGATTGGAAAGTATTCATGTAAGCTTCATTTGGAAGTGATTCATTTTCAAGGTGCTATTTGACCCCCCAAAATTAAAAGGGGACTAGCTGTACTATTTCCTTTCATGTGTATACTTTGGAAGTATTATAATGTATCCGAGCTCGTTTAGGCTTACATCCGAACAAATCACACAAAGCCCATTTTTAAATATTCGTTGATTCGATTCGATTTGATTTCTCATGGCTAATTAGTTTGTTTTTTTAATCTTCGCAGTCGAATAAGCTGTTTTTGTCGTTTTAATTCCATTTTTTGGGGAGATCGAAACCTATCCATTTATATATAACTTGTAAATTAAAATAACTAAATTCTGTTTTCTCTTTCCTTTTTAGCCAAGACCAAATTTGTGAATTATACCAGCAGCTCCATTCGTCAGAGGTGCCTCAAATCCTCCGGCAATACGAGTCCGTCATCTATGACGTCATAAAAGATCTCAGGCAGTACCAATCAGGGGTCGATAGGTTGGAGAAGTCATTAAAAAGGTAAACTTTCTTTTTGGAATAAAATGTGCATATACATTTAAAGAGAAGGTTGAGTTCTCTGGGAAGAGGTGAAAAATAATTTGTGAAAGTTATCATTGTTATTATGCAAGTGTGGAAGAACATCAGATAACAAATGTTCCTTGAAAATCATGGCTCTTCAAATGCCCTAATATTCTAAATGTGGCAAGTAAAAGCATACAAATCGGGGCGGATTTTAATATACATATTTCTGTGTACAGTGCTTGTAACTTTACCAAGACTGGGTCAAATTTCTTATCATTTTGATGATTCCAGAACCTTGTAGTACACACCAATACTTATATGCTAGATGATCAACCTTTGCTGATCGATTCCACACCGTTTCTTTCACAATGCAATCGCATGACCAGAACTCAACCTTGTCTTTAACAACATAATTATTCATACCCCTTTAAATTTGATATGTAATTGTGTTCTTCATAATTCAAGAATGAAAGGTGGACCGGTTAAACGAAGGCATTTGTTTACTACTTAAAGATGTACGTTTGATATGCCAAATTCTCAAGAGACATGGATTGGGACAAAACAGTTTTTTAAATAATAAAAAAAAACATTACAAACTTGGTATGGTATGAATAATTGATTTGTTAAATGCATGTGTGCGTTTGGGGCAGATACGTGGATCCATGAGAGGAGTATTTGTTCACCTTGTGAAATGAAAAATAAAACAAACAAACTGAAGAAAAAAAGGACGAAAGAATCACAATGTTATTTTTGTTCAAGCTCCTTTATATTTGATATGGCAGTGAGAGTGTTTCTCCTAAGGAATATATATAAACGTTTGTATATACATATACATGAATATATAAACGTTTTTTTTTGTTTTTTTTGTTATTAAGAAGTACTTTCGTGTGACGATCGACGAAGTTGCGTCATTTGAGCAAAGAGCAAATAACAAAGTTTTTCCATACCATTTTGTACGATCTTGCTTTAAAGAAAATTATTTAAAAAAATGTTTCGGCTGTATATAAAAAATGATAGTACATTGTGATTGTCGCAAGTATCTGGAAACATATATATATGTTGAAGGTTACTCGGCTAGAACAAAAATACACTTCCACATACATTTGTAGTGTAATCACATGTGTTGATTATTGTGTGTTCACATACAAGTGGGAGATCAGGGGCCTGTTTCATAAAACTTGTTATCTATAAGAACTGCTTAATTTCTATGAAAAATTTGCTCTCAGCCAATCAGATGCCATGATTTCAGTAGCTTATAAATTGTTATTGATATCAAGTTTTATGAAGCAGGGCCCTGTTTTGCCGCCTGTTAACAAGAAGTAATTACGCAGAAATTTCATTAAATTAATAAGGACTTGATTGGTTTCCTTGGCAACAGGACGAATGAAACCAACACTGAACACCTCCAGCAGCTGGAGTATGAGATGGAGGTTCAGATGACGAGAACGGAGGAGCGAGTCAGAAAAGAGGTAGGGGAAATGCTATCTATGCAAATTATTATCTATCATTATGCAATATTTTCTCTGAAACCATTGCAAATCGAGCACCATGGTATCACGTGACTACTGGTGAATAGGTAACTTAAAAAAGCATTTTGGTTTTGTTAAAAATAAGTAAACACGCGCTTTCGAACATGGGAAGACTTAAAGGCAGGCTTTACTACTTCAGCCAGAAGGGATTACACCGCCCAGCGAGCCAGCGAGGTCACTGTGACAGGTGGCTATCTCATTATTCAGCTCTCATTTAACATAAGAAAAAGAGGATCATGGGGGACCAACAGGCACCGATTGGGGAAGCTTTCTATATAGAGGGAGCAAGTAGCTACAAGTAGGACAGTGTGCCTTTAACGAATATTTATGTATCAAATGAACTAGTGATATTCAATAATTTCATTGCGTTTGCTTCTAGAAGAGTCATTGGAGGTGATTGTCGCTGAATTAAAAAGAAATATATGGTTCTATACAATAGTCAGTTCTGTGTTTTCCACGTTGAGCGGACAAATTCATTTGCGTTGCTGAGTCCTGTAAAAGATTAAATATGCCGTTCAGGATATTGATTTATAAACACATTGTTAGTTAAACAATAGAAGGGTGAACAGCTCAACGATCAACACAAGCGAAATCAATACGGCACGGTATACCGCCTTTCAAACAGACTGCATTCCTATACCATCTTCAGATCAATCAAGGAAACGCACCAATGAAGGATTGCCTTGAGATGGGTTAGGGTACCAGTCTAGGAAGCAATGATCAATAAACAGGGTGGTTTTCTTAAGGTGTTTGTGGCGTACTCGTTCGTCCTTCTTCCATACCTCTTTTAACCACTGTTACCAAAGACAGAAAGTTGAATCGAGTTTTAGAAACTTGACGTTTCCTGGCTTGTTCGAAGCTCTTATTGTCGCGATAAGTGTACAAAGGCCGGTGCAGAGCAGTTTGTGGAATATATTATCCAGCACCATTTTTTCTCTGTTGAACAAACTTTGGAGTTCTAATGAGCATCGTGGATGTTGTTCTGGAAGAGATAAAGCCTAATTATGTGTGGTTAAGTGGATGTAAAGGAAACTCGCGTGGGGTATATGCATATTTTTACTTTGCTTATTGTGCCAAAGGAGAACCCAGAACCATGTGAAGATTTGTGGTCTTCCAGCACGTATATTTAAAAAGATTACCGTTCGAACATCCAGGAGATGATAACGACGACGTACCTTTCGGGACAGACTTCGAAATCATTTTGCTAGAGTTATGCTTTCTGTTGATTGAAGAATATTTTGAAGCTTTTGAAAGGGATGCGATTTCATATTTGATCTCAACCTAAGTGGATTTTTCGGGAAAGTCTTCGAAATCTTTACCAATTAAGTGTTATGTTGATTGCTGATTAGGGAATATTTGGAAGCTTTGGAGCAGGACACGACTTCATAATAGATCTCGGACTAAATGGATATTTTGGGATAGTCTTCGAAATCTTTTGCAAGAGACCTGTTGATTTTTTATTGAAGTATATTTTGGAAGTTTTGGAAAAGAACACAATTTCACAATGGATCTTAGCTTTAACAGCCTTAAGACGGCCTGGACCGATGTAACCGTGTCACTCAGTGAGGCAGGGGGTGCCTTCAAATCGTTGGTATTGGATGACTTCTCCGAACCAATGCCTCCTCCAAGACCTTACGATGCATCCGCTCATAACCACAGCACTGCTCAACAGGTTCACCAGGCTTCAAAGACTACAGGGAGCTACCAACAAGCTCCGAGGCCAACGGGAAACGATGCGGTGCAGCAGAATGGGCAGCCTTCAGGACAACGTCTGCAGCAAAAGGCCCCAATCAATCAACAATCTAGTGGTTTGTTGAATCAGAAGAATTTTCATGCAAATAGTGGCACCAATCAAGTGCAGCCGACCTTAATTAATCCAAATGGTGGCATGCATCAAGTGCAGCCGTCCTTGAATCATCAACATAGTCATCCTGTATACGAACCATTCTACGCCCCATCACCAAGTTTTCCATCTGCTTCTGACCAATTAAGGGCTGCACTCCAGAAAAGTGCAGCACCGAAGTCGACGGAGCAGCAACAGAGTAATGGTGCTCTGAACTACAGGAATCATTCGATATATGATCGGCCAAACCCTCTCGCTTCTAACTCTGCTACGAGTAGAAATCAAACGAATAATCAACATTTACATAAAAATACATCACATACCACCTTGCTCCAACAATCTAAGCCGCCACCTTTCACTGATGAGCATGGACAAAGCGAAACACACACTATGCAAAGGGCTGGGGAACAGACTTGGCCAACAAGCGATTCAAATCATATGAAATCGTTGCCGCAATACTACAAGCCAACACCATTTGTCGCCCAGCCTGGTCAGAGTGCAACACAAGCACTGCAACGAAAGAGTGATTTAGGGTCTTTACCGAATACTGCAATCCCTACGAAGCCGTTGCCGCAATACTACAAACCAACACCTATGGTCGGACAGTCGGGAATATCCGCAGTCCCTGAAGCGTTCAAAGATGGCCGTTCTATTACAACAGCAATGGTTGCTTCTGACCTGAACAGAACTAAATCTGTACCAGATCTCCAGCGTGCCAACAGCTCCTCTGCTTTCTCGAGCGAACATTCTAGCTTTCAAAAACCATCCCAGTATAAACCGGCTAGAACCAGATCAAGCTGGCAAGATCTGAATCTGCACAAGTCTACGCCGGACTTAAGGCGAAGTGGTATCAGTCCAGGACCTGGATATGTGTCTCCTGGGGCAGTGGTTCTTTCAAGGAAAAATTCAGTAGGATCCAGACCTAGGGCATGGCGATCCCTTTCACGAGGACCCACTCCTTCGCAGGTATAGAGTGGTGAAGTGTGACGTCATCAAAAAAAAAAATCTTTTTTAGAATTTCTCAATTTTTTAGGAGCCAGAGCATATAACACTGAGTTCCCATTGGACTTATATTTATTCAGATGGTCATATCTCAGCCAATACTTAACATATTCAATTGGTTTTCGACATTTGGACATTATTGTTGATGCTCTTTCGGAAAATGAAACAAAAATTGAAATATTCTAAAAAATAGATTTATATGACGTCACAGCTTCGGTACTCTATACGTTCCACGGTTTATTCTCACGCGCCTTTCGTTAGTCTTAACATTGTTTTCGAGCATCATCCAGACTCTGTTTCTCTTCAGATGTTGCCGTTCAAGACGAGAATCTTTTCATTTGCACCTAATGCTCGAGTTTGTAACAGGAGTTGAAAAAGTGCGTTGTATTGAAAAGAACCAACTTCAAGTAACATCTCACAATACTCCAGGGCCTCGTGTTAAAAACAATTTTTGATTAATATCAGTCGCAGCTCTGTACTTAAGAGATAGGAAAATGCAAACTTGCGATTGATAGGAGGACTTGCGATTGACTCGGATCAATCGCAACTCTTAATTTGACGGGACCCTAGTACAAAGGCCTACACACTAAATTCTTACATTTTTTGGTTTTCTTTTTTTAGGAAAGGGAACGGATAGAATCGGAAAAAGCCGAGATTCAAAAGCAGCTTGAAGCAGAGATTCGGGAGTTAAAGAGTAATCTCAATCAAATACACACAGTGAGTATACGTTTATAATATTCATTTCATTTATTTCCACGTGAAGATAAAAACAGTATCATATAATCTTCAAAACAAAAACACATATAGTGAAATATCTGAAGTGGGAGGATCATAATGAAAAGCACATAAAAAGCTTGTTAAAAAATGATCCTCACAAAATTCACTGAATTACAATAACTTGAGTAGTATTAGAAGTAAGTGTTATTTTAGAAGTAGTTGTAATCTGGTATTGGGATAAATAAACGATGACATCCCCTTTTCATCAAAACAATCTGATACATTCTGATCCTTCTCTTTCGAAAGGCCGAAGACAAAGCAGAGAGGATAGACACATCTCGGGAAGACCTGCTCCACTCCCTCAAGAAGGACCTGGACCAGTTAAGAAGTGAGAACAGGAGTCTAAGGAGTAGTCTAACTGAGGCCCAGACCAACATCGTCCTGTCCAGAAGTGAGCTTGTCACACTGAAAAGCGACTTTGACGAACAAAATGGTTTCATATCAAAGTAAGTAGATGCTGGCCAACTTCTTTTATGTTTCAGGCTTGCATAGAATGTTTCGACTGTTTCGTATAAGTGCTTTCAAGAAAAATCGTCTCGATCTTTATAATAAGAAATGTTTATATATATATATATTAAAGTAATTTTTGTTGATGAGTTAACTATTACAATATATTTTACTATAAATTCCTTGTCTATACTAACATGTTATTATTATGTAAGAGAGTTGTTTCAATAAATAAATTTTTTAAAATTGTTTCGAATGACTGTACGCAAAGCCATTCAAGACCAATTACTCGAAACACAACCTCGTGAAGATGTATAATTGTCCCCGTTTTTAAAATCGGAGGTAAAAATAATAATTGACTTTAAATAGGCTTTAAAGCTAATGTGTTATATGAGTTGTGTTAAGGAATATCCATCTTTTGAAGGAAGATTTTGAAATGATTACTTTCATGATGCAACCAAACTTATTCTTGTTCGTACGGTACAGTGTACCTTTCCAGAGAGAAGTTTCTTGTACGAACTACATGACTTTATAATGAGATTATCACGACGTTCTTTCCCTAGACAATGTATATTTGATGCCATTATTATTATAGCTGTTTTTGACATTTTCTTGTAATAGTAACCGTGACGTCATACAGGATTACATCGGAGAACAGGACAATCTTACCAGGCAACTCCAATTATTACAGTAAGTTCATCGATGTTTGATTTATATTTAAGAGAAGGTGGAGCTCTGGGGAGAAGTAAAAACAATAAATTGGGAGCGTTATCATTGTTATTATGCAAGTGTGGAAGAATGTCAAAGAAAGAATATTCCCTAAAAAAGCATGGCTCTTCAAATGCCTTCATATTCTAAATATGACAAGTAACAGCTTCAAAATGAGGCCCGATTTTTATGCTACATGTTTGAGTAGTGCAATATACATCTTTCTGTGTACAGTGCTAATTGTTACTTTACCAAGACTGGGCCATATTTCTTATCATTTTGATGCCTCCATAGCCTTGCAGTACACACCAATACTTCTATGCTACATTATCAACTTTCCTGATCAATTCCACACCGTTCCTTTCACAATGCAATCGCATGACCAGAACTCAACTTTATATCTAAGATATGACATTTTTAATTTGATATTTTCCTGTTCATTGTCTCGTACTATATGCTAAATTTTATGTGGGATAATTTTTTTATGAACGTCTGTACAATTTCTTTTTGATCCACAGTGAGGCTAACAAGAAACTCCAGGATACGAATGATGATCTCAGATCTGCATTGGAAAATGTGTCGAGAGTAAGTAGAAATATTTTGTAAACGACTCTTCGTTATTCTGATTTTGAAAAGTGTGGCATATAGTTTATGTAGTTTTAGAATTAGATTAAATGCCAGTTTTTATAATGATTCTTACTGAGCATCAAAATACGATAATTAATGATAATAATAACCATGTTTCCCTTTTCAAAGGCTGCATACTAGACGTTTTGAATCATTAATGGCAAGTTTTTCCATGCCTATTTTGTAAATAAATAGTATATATTACTTTAGCATGTCACATGATAAATCTAGTTTCCTTCCATAGAAGGCATCGTCTGTTATCATATTTGGAAATCTGGCCCAGCGTCCATATGCAGGATAATCCATTCAGCTCTTCGCCAAATAAAAAAAATTCTCATTACAAAGTAAAAACAAATCCATGCATATAAAGTTTTAATTCCATTTTTCTCAAAGCATTACAAAGTATTGCAAAAAGGAAAAAGTGATAGATTCATACATTTGACAAACGAATGTACAATGAACAATAAGATTCTTGTATTTTGATGAGTTGGACGTGCATCCACCTATAAATAAATGAGTTTTGTATGGATTGTTTGTTAAGTTCATAATGTTATTTTTGTTATTTCATTTGAAAAGAAAGAGATGATAAAAATCCCTTCAAACATCCAGTTTTTAAAGACATTTAATATGTTTGCATAGAAAATAACGAAATTAAAAGAGCAAGTCTTCCTACCTGGGATACCGAAGATGAAATGAAACATTTATCAAAGTTCTCTAAGAATCGACGAGTTAACCCATTGCTTACGAGAACCTGATGGCTCCTGTACTAAAGCCTATGTCAATGAGAGAATTCTGTAGTCAATGAGTTAAGGGGCATTTTTTTTTTTTTACTCGTAACAGACGTCTCGCATGTCGCCTCGTACAACACGTCTCCTAAGCTCAGCTTCGTTCATGGATGATTACGTAGGTGATGACGTCATTGTGGACCCGTAAGTAACTCGCTTTAATCTCATAACAATAACCACAGTGATGATATATTACACGATATAAACATGAGATCAGTCTCCCATTTTTTTTTTTTTTGGAAAGGGTATAGTTTATTGATGCTGTTGACCGGATTCAGACAATGAACTGTCGGCACTGATTTTCTAGGATCCAAAACTTGCATATTGTCGTATCAATATAAGGTAGATGTTGAAAATGGTAAATTATTAATATTGGATTGCCATCTCTATGTTTTGTCACCCAGAATGACATCTCTCCTCGATGTAATGTTGTTTAAGATATAGTAGTGAAATAAATATAGCTAATTAAAGTCATATTAAGTGCATAACATGAACATATTTAAAGGTACTATGCATTTGCAGGGAAAACAAATTAAAAGGTTAAATTGAAAAGCATTTGAAAGATAATACTAATCTAGAACTTCCCTAAAACCTAAAGGCTTGGAAATGACTTCAAGTTGGAAAATAACGACAATTAGATGTCGAATCGACATTGTTACGAACGGTCGTGCGTTTTGTAATGCGCAAAGATTCAATTAGTTTAATTTTGGCCATTACAAGCATTTGGTTATTGATGTACAAATGCCCATGTACCCTTTACATCTCATTGTATGTATGTTATTACCAAAGAAAATCGAAGAAGTCAGTCAGTCACTCAATAGTGTCTGACAGTGAAGTTTGGAAAGTAAACGGGTTTCCTTGCATAATTTAAATATTAGGACACTGCCAAAATTTAAATTTCACAGATAGGACATACGTGATATGTTCATAGTTCCTGCAAAGTTCTACGGAATTTGATGTTGGCTGCAAATGGGACATAGTACCTTTAACCCATTGCCTGTGTAAACCGGATGGCTTATGTATCAATAATTATATTTGCTTATATAGCGCCTAACACTTACTTTATCAGAAGTCTCTAAGCGCTCTACAAGAATGCAGCATAATTACCCTGGCTTTAGCTTAAAGCCTAAGGACATGAGAGAATACAGTAACAAATGAGTTAATAATATTGAGTTACTTTCATTGTTATCTCCATGTCAGGTCGAGACAGCGTAAATCGTACGCATCCCAGGGCTCTTACGACGGCTCGGAGATGCACGTGACTGGTGGGAGACGCCATTTTGCTTACCAAACTACAGACGGTGATAATTATCCTGATGATGGAGGTAAACTTGAAACTTTACAAATGTAACCTTTCCCTGTTTCAGGACCTTCAGGACAAGAGTATTTTAAGACTAGATTGATCTTGATTATTATCCTGATTGAGACTAGATTGATTTCATGTTGCTCTTCAAATTGGTGATTATTATCCTGATGATGGAGGTAAATTTGAAACTTTCCAAATTTGACCTTTCAGTACTTTCAGGACAGGAGTGTTTTAAGGCTAGATTGATTTGCATGTTGCTCTTCAAATTGGCAACTATATTATTTTTATTCATTGCTACATCGTTCTAATTAAATGCAATGTATAGTAACCTATTTTCATTTCCTTATTTATTGAAATGCTTATCATTGTATATACCTTCGTATTGTTTTTTTAATGGAAATGGAAATAACAGTCTGCATAATTATGTAGGAACATGTTGATAAGATTAAAACAATGTTTTTGAAGAAATATAAAACGATGTTGGAGCCCTCAAGATGTTGTCAATTTAAGGGTTTCAAGGTTATTTTCTTGGACAGCCAGATGGAGACGCCATTTTTCTTTGCATACTTTATATGCTAAAAATCATCCTAACAATGGAAGTAAACATTGCCTCTTCTCTATTTCATTTCGAAATGAATGTGTATTCTGTAACATAAAGCAAGGCACAGAGTGCATAAAGCAAGACATAGAATGCATAATGCAACGTGCTAAACTGTTTCCTTATAAATATAAACGCATTTCATTTTGTATAGAATTTCTTTTTATGTCACATAAAAACAATGCTTAGTTTGGATTAAGGAATGAGCTATATTCCATTTAACATGGAAACTCCTTGATACTATATACTTCAATATCACACAGCTAAATATTCTTGTCCAGGATGTACTAATTATACGATCTTGAATATAATCCAGTTATCATTTGGGTATTTAACTTGATTATTTCATCGAAGACAGATAGATATGATTTTCATTCAATGTATATCGTAATTTTAATGGTACAGCTCTCATACAAAAATCAGGAGCAAGAAAACTTCTTGAAGAATTTCTAGGTAAGACTTTGTGAAAGTTATGCTGTCTAATTAAGCACAAAATCTGACAACATTTCCGCACATTAACTTAAATAATATTTTCAGAAAACAAATTCACGTGTTGTGTTAACATAATTCCCTGTTTTTATTGTTAGATAGAATTGGAATTCCCATTTGTGTTGAATTACTTTGACGAAATGTCGATTTCTGCACATTGATTGCATTTCTCTATTTTCATCGTACTTTTCTCTTTTCGTTGTGTAAACTTTGGCATCGATTAGATTCCCTTTTTTATTACGTCTAAACTAATTCATTTAGATTTGCTGTGTTGAACAAATCTCTAATCGTAAATATAATTTTTTTAAATTAACATAGTCATATCCCAGTTTTCGTGAGTATATAGAATTGTGCAATTAAAACGGCTCTGATACAACTTGCGGTATTATTCCGCCCAAATAATAAAAAGAAAAACTACCAGAGTAAAGACTTATACTAATTGCAGTGACTAAAAGTAATTTTTGTTATCATGATATAGACCCTTTCAAACAGCTTTCCCATATGTGACTGTTAAATAATAATACTCAAAAGATAATTATGTGCGGGTGATTTGACAATTCACAGACAAAAATATGGCTTCTTTATTTCCATATAGGCAAACATTTCAAAAGCTGAATTATTGTTACGCGGGTGAGACTCTTCCTATTTATGATTAGGATGTCTCCTCCCCCTGTCCGTCTCTCTCTCTCTCTCTCTCTCTCTCTCTCTCACTCACTCTCTTTCTCTCTCTCTCCCTCTTTCTCTCTGTCTCTTTCTCTCTATCTCTGTCTCTTTCTCTGTGTCTCTCTGTCTTCTCTTTTTGTTACGCGAGTGAGACTCTTTCTATTTATGAACAAAATATCTACTCCCCCACTGTTCTCTCTCTCTCTCTCTATTGGTCTCTGTCTCTGTCTCTCTCTCTCCATCCACCTCTCTCACTCTATCTCTTTCTCTCCTTCTCTCTCTCTCTCTCTCTTTCTCCCATCTCTTTTGTTTATAATTTTTAACATCTTTTCCCCCCTCGCAGACTCTGGAAACTCCACTCTCCGAGACCCCAATGAGCTCGACTCAGAAACCGAAGAAGATTTGAGAAGAGCGCCACCATTGAAGGAAGAAATAGCAGTGTCCATGGTACGCCAGGGGCCTGTTTCAATAAACTTGTTATCTATAATAACTGCTAAATTTCTATTACGAATTTGCTCTCAGCCAATCAGATGCCATGATTTCAGTAGCTTGTAACAGTAGCTTGTAATTTGTTATTGACAATCATCAATGTGCAGATTATGTACCAGCATTTTCTAGTGTAAACTAATGGCGTGCAAAAATATGAAATTATGATTGATATTACTGTTAATAATTCATTATGCAGATTTATTCGTGTAATTTGGTTGATTTAGTTGTGCAGACAGACCGGCTGCTACAGAAATTTAAAATAAAATATTCTCAGATGAACTTTCGGAGAGGCAAATTTAGTGAGTGTGCAAACTACTCATTGCTGATGCATGCTGACGTTAAGCGGTAGATGAACAACTGACATAAAAGAAAATCAATTATTATTGTGTTTTGTGTTTTTTTGTAACGCAAGCTACAGATCCTTTTTTCCAATATCGCCGGAAAATTTGTAGATCACTAAAGTCTAGTAACCTTATGAAAGGTAAACTAAACAAAATGAATGAATGAATAAAAATCCATGATTAAAATAACAAAGTCGAAAAGGGCGTAATAGCTAATTGTATACAAGCTGAAATATCTATGCCCTGAGCCGAGTTTTGAAAATTAACAATGATCAGTTTTAACCAATATTTACTTTCTTAAATGTATAGAAACAAGAAATGAAAGACGCGCAACGCCAGGGCTCACACCATCACATGTCACACGCTACGTCATCACAACATTCAACCAATAGCAGAGGAGCAGCGAGCATAGGCCGCCAGGCGTCACAGTATGGGGAGCCAATTAGAGACACGCGTTCCTTGTCACGTGGTAGTTCTCCACGGTCTAGTGGAGGTGGTTCGAGAAAGCGCGCTCTTCCGCAACTACCACAACAGGTAACCATTTTACACAAAATGATTTTACTTCTGTACCTAACATTTATTGTTTAAGTATGTACACCTATGCTTAATGTTTCCAACAACATGTCAGAGTCATTACTCAAGCGATATACTTAAGTAAATTAAATTTCTTTCTCGTAAAACATGCTCAATAAAGAATAATAACAATGTTTTTATATTTTGGGGAAAAAAGATTAGGTTTTGTGATCTTAATGAATTAGTTTATTCATCTAACATGTTGACAATTTGAAGAATTAAAGAGTTGGCTTGAGCATATTCTGCAAAATGATACCAAGACAAGATCGTTTAAAAACAGTGTATGTATTTTGTTTTTCTTTTTGAATTAATTTTATACACTGTTGAAGATAATTGTATTCATCAAATTCCTCGACCTGCTTCTTTGCGGGTCAAGTTGACTCTTTTTAATTTTCTTGCAGACCAACTGTTTTCATATCTTTTTGCCAGCTCCTGAAGAATTTGATTAAATTATCCACCGAAACTCTGAATATGGTTTATGCAATTCTTTTACGTATTTCTTCCATTATTTTGGTTTTAATTTGAAGGTTACATCCGTGGTAAATAATCTTATGGAATACTTTGAAACTGAGGTACTATAATAACTAAAGAATACTAAATCTGAAGAAATCAGTAAATTCTTGAAGTTCACTAATACTCTAACGTAAAAGAGATGCTTCATTTCTTGTCCTATGAACCATGTATCTTCATGTCTAATATGCCTCTAGAAGGTGAATTGCCATTTGGTGTACCACTAGTTCGTCTACTACCCAATTTGTCTATTGTTCATTAAGTTTAATAACCAGTTAGTCTAAATACCAGTTTTGCTAATGCCCATTTAGAATCAACCCATTTGGTCTTATAATCATTTAATCATAAGTCATAATTATCACCAAAAGATTATTAGACCTTGTGGATAGTAAACGAAATGGGAATTAGACGAACTGGAAATTAGACCAAATTACTGTTAGCCGAAATGGTAATAGACCAAATGATAAGTACACGAAATGATTATTAGATCATGTGGATAGTAGACAGGCTGCGTGTAGACCATATGAGAAAAGACCAATAGGGATGAACCGGTTGTAGACCAACAGCAATAAACCATCTAGAAGTGCTTTTACTATTATTTAATTCGTTCCGTAACATCGAATACAAAAATATTTATGAAAATGTATGAAAAAAATGATATATTTATTTTTAGCTATTAGTCCTTATGTCGGGAATGATAATGTATATTGAACCATTATATTGGGATTAACGTATTTGAGACATTAACTATAGAATACATAAAATAATTGTTATGTGGGCTGTGCTTTCTAAACTATTTGCAGTTTTGCAGTTTTCTAACCCCCTTTTTCTGAATTAACATAATAATTTGTCAGTGAAACACAATCATGATGCCAAGTATGTTGTTGGATGATATTGAACAATTTTATTAGTAAATGTATGAGTATACAGTCACAAATGACCTGTTTAGTGTGTTCATCCCTTTGCTTACAATTTTTTGGTTCAGTACATGTACTCCGGACAAAATCTGAAATCAGGAATTAGTGCCCCCCCCCCCCCAAAAAAAAAAAAAAAAAAAAATAATAATAATAATAATAAATAAATAAATAAATAAATAAATAAATAAAAAATAACAGTAATAATAACAATAATAATAACAATAATAATCGAAATAAGTAGGAGATCGTGAATAAGTTATAAATAACCAATGTAAATTATATGTTTTTGTGACTCGATGATGTCTATAGGCTGGTATGTTTGCAGGTTATAATATGTATAGATCTCTTTGAAAAATTACGTTTTTGCTAATGGAATGTTCCATGCCATAAGTTGACAAATTGAAAAATGAAAATAATTTTTTTAAAGAGTGTCAAAGATAAAAAGGACATGAATTTCGCGACAATTTGATTTTCATTAGCTTGGGGATTGATTAAACTGTTTCTACTATGTGGCTAGGGATTGACCGCAGAGCGATTCTTGCAAGAATAAACGACGATTATCTATAGGCAAATTTTGCCCGATGGTTGCCCGATGGTTTGCTCAAACTTTTTTTGATTGGTTTGTCTGATTTTTCTGTTTCTATTTAAAGTAAGTTATTTTTGGAGTGGACTTGGGCTTTAAAGGCATATTATAATGCTTGGGTCTATCAATGATACAAAATCGACTATCACACGCATATGACAACGTAAGATTGATGTGTGTGTATGTGAAGGGCGGGAGGGGGGGGGGGGTCTCAGATCATGGCCCCGTCTAATAAATAGATGCGATTGATCCGAATCAATCGTAGTCCTCTTATCAATCGCAAGTTTACAGTCTCCTATCAATCGCAAATAAGTTGCGATTAATCGCAACTGTTTATATGACGGCCCCATGTTTAAATAGAAGAATAAGGGTTATTTCTAGGGCGTAATTCTACTGTTATATTCTGTTTGTGTTGTAGCCGCTGTCCCCAACACCGACGGCCCATCCAGAGCGGATGTAAACGATTGTATAGTTGCGATTGATCCGAGTTTGCAGTCCAATATCTCGTATGTACATAGTTGCGATTGATACTAATCAATCGCTTATAAGTTACGATCAATTGCAACTCTTTATAAGTCGGGTCCCCAGAATAAGGGTTATTCGAGGCGTAACTCTACTGTAATACTATGTTTGTGTTGTAGCCGCTGTCCCCGACACCGACAGCCCATCCAGAGCGGATGTATAAGATCGTCTTAGCCGGAGATGCGGCAGTAGGCAAGTCCAGTTTCATCATGAGATTGTGTAAGGGAATCTTCCATAGTAACCTCAACTCCACGTTAGGTAAGAAACTATTTTTTTCTTTATTTCCTTCGAAGGCATTACGGTCATGCATGATAATTAATTGAAGCAATGGGTGGTATAAATCTTGTCAATCGAACCAAATTTGTTTATTATTCTTTGTTTTAATATCATAAAATTTCCCTTTATCACTTGCAATTTTGAAAACGAGGTCAACATAATATCGAGTCTTTGACCAAGTTATCATGATACCTGATTACTTCATCATTGAAGATTTCACTTGGTGTGTGACTACCACAATTGAAGTCGAGTCGAGATCTGCGGGACTGCACTACTTGTAGCTACTTGCGCCTTCTATATAGCAAACAATCCCTAAACGGTGTCCGTTGGTCCCCTATGGTCCCCTTTTTATTATGTTAATTGAGAGCTGATTTGATGAGATAACCACCTGTCGGTGACCTTGCAGGGAGGTCTAATCCCTCCTGGCCTAACTCGTGCAGAGGGGGTCTAAATGAAACGATTGTGAAGTTATTGTATTCGTTGATTAAACTATCCTATACAGGCGTCGACTTTCAAATGAAGACAATCGACGTGGATGACCGAGTCACCTCGTTACAGCTATGGGACACTGCCGGGCAGGAAAGGTTTCGAAGTATTGCTAAATCTTACTTCAGACGGGCTGATGGAGTACTGCTTCTCTACGACTGCACTTGCGAGAGATCCTTTATCAACGTGCGGGACTGGATCGAGGCAATTGAGGTAAGCACATTTAACCCTTCGATTACTGAGTTGTTTAATTTACATAGGCTTAGTACAAGGACCATCCGTTTCCAGGAGTCAACTGGTTAAGTGACACAATGATTTCTCTTTAGGTGAGGGGTGGGGGCCTGCTTGATCAATTTTAGAATGTGTATGGTTATATCTGTAAGTTTTTCCAATGTTTAGTTTATATTTTGTGATTCTGGCGTTCAAATGCACCTCTTGTGAGCCATGCAATGGTTTTTGGAAAAAAAATGTATTTGATTATACGAAATTGATTTTTGAGAGGCTACAACAACATTTATCTCTTCCCCTGTCTCATAGTAGGTACGAACAATGGTACAATGAGGTGTGACACTTCATTCATTTCATACTTCATTTATTTACCCAGCTTCCTACTTCTGTATCCCGTTTTGATATAGAAAGTTGAGAGGAGAATACATTACACAAAACATATGTACGCGGAGCGGTGGTGTCTCACCTAATCCAAGCGTTCATATTATTCCATGTTTTTACTTTCCGGAAATGTCTTTTCCCGTTATTATGCAAAGATCTTTCCAAAACAAAAGTATACCAATGTAACTCTTCACTGTGACCGTTTGACTTAAATTTCTTAGATTCTATTTAATGTAAAGTCAACCATATCATATTTGCACGTGTTCTATTGTTTATACTGTTATAGGAGAGTTCACACAAGCCTGTTCCAGTCATGATATGCGCTAACAAGTTGGATGCTAGGCCATTAGCCATCGCAGAGGGCGTGCGTTGTGTACGAACAGAAGACGGACAGAGGCTTGCAACGGTAAGCTACGAACGTTTTTTTCCCCCCAAAGGAAATTTGTATTCAATCATTCTTGAGCAAGAAAAAACAATATATTTGAACAAAGTACATGTCGTGAATATGACATATCGGTAAAACAAACATTGTTACATCAGTTGCACATGTCTCCATTTATCAAGTAATACAACAAATGTATTGCGTTTGATAGAAAGAACCCGCTCAACTTCATAAAAACCTTTAAGCATCTTCTTTAAAGAATTCAAAGATAACCGTTCCCTTTTGTATTTCGCAGAGAAAATATAGTGGTTTGCATATAAGATGATCAAATTAAAGATAGATTGCGTACCATCTAGGAAACCAAACAAAAAGGAATTTATACTCAAAAGTACTTCATTGTTTACGAAGCTACGAACTTGCAATGAAATGGTTATAGTAGGAATCCGTATTTTAATGCGGCAACTCTTTGCAGAGATAATTTGATGATAGTTTGACTCTTTTAATTATCCTGAATTTCTTGATGGAAATACAAAATGATCGAGATTAATCTTAATAATTTGATATTCCGATTCGTCATCGTTATTATTGGAATTCGTTTTTCACTATATGAAAGTAAAACTAATAATTCTCTTAATATCATATTTATTGCTACTAAACAGAAAGAGCTACACTAAAACTACCTAAGCAAGTAAAACGATCAAAAACATCTTTAACCAAGTACAGCCAATCATGATTAATATGTTTTTCTTCTTGTTTATTGTTTCCTATAGTCTTTCAATGCTCTTTTTATTGAGACGAGTGCTAAGGAGGGATCGAACGTTGAAGATGCAGTAATCGAGTTAACTAGGTAATCTTAAAATACTCCCCCCCCCAAAAAAAAAAAAAATAAATAAATAAATAAATAAATAAATAAATAAATAAATAAATAAATAAATAAATAAATGAATAAATGAATAATTAAATTTTTAAAAAATTTAAAAAAAATAAAATAAATAAATCAATAAATAAAAATAAATAAAAATTAAATTAAATTAAAACAAATAAAAAATAAAAAATAAATAAATTATCAAGTGTCAAAATTTATCATAGGGTAAATAAGAATGGTTTATATTAAATTTCAAATGTTTCATTCGGAAGTTTGTACCACCGTTACTTCGATGTTAGACATTTAAATCAAGAAAGTTTTTAACAAACGTTATAATTTTCATCGAATCGATAGACCTTGGATTTTTTTTTCCAATGAGCATCTGTGTATCATTTGACAAGATTGTTACCTTCCGTGATGAACGATAGTGAGCAGTTACGTTCAAACAATATGATGATCCATCGTGAAGAGTAGAGAGGGAAAAACGAATTATACTTTGTTTTATCGGGAGGAGAGACCAAGGCGAAAAAAGATCTTCAAGTCGATATTACCTACCAGGGATACCGAATAGTTAATGTTGATAATGATGATATCATATATAAGTGAGTATATATCATATTTGTTATCTTATGTTTGACAGACAACTTCACAAGAGAGAGGATTTGGAGGTAAGCTCGAGTGGAATAACACTCAACACAGACACACCAGCGAAGAAGAAGGAAACGGGGTGTTGTGACTTTTAATCCTATAGATCTTCATTTAGAAGCACGTGTACGAAACTTGCCGAGACAACCCGATATATGTCGAATGTAGCCGATGTGTTTAGAAGACGGTAGAGACCCCTTGGCGAAACTTCCCGAGACTATCCGAAATATGTCGAATATAGCCGATAGTTTTATATATAGGCCTATACTGCAAACACCCATGTGATGAAACTTCCCGAAACATCCTGAAACTTGTCGAATGCAGTTGAGACATTCAAGAGTGGCCTACGAGGCGAAACTTCCGACCTTAAACTTGTCGAATACAGCAAAGCCCTTGAAAAAACATCCGACGTGCCGAAACTTCCCGAGATGACCTAAGACATTTCGAATACAGCAGAGTTATGGGAAAAATTTCCGACGTGGCCAAACTTCCCGAGATGACCTGAGACTTGTCGAATACAGCCGAGTCCTTGGAAAATCTCCGACTTGGCGATACTTGCCGAGACTGCCCGAAACATTTCTCTAAATACAGCTGAGGCCTTGAACAGTAACCTACGTGTTTGACACGTCACATGGACTTGGATATATGTATTTTTAAAATCATTAAGCGAAATTACAATGGTCATAATTTTGATATTCCTTGTAAGGTTGCATATTTACTATTTTTGAATCACTTCAGCATCATGGTTTAAACAAATATTCACCTAAGCGTATGTTGATAGGCGTCCTGTATTTATAGCTGTAAATCACTTTCCTTTGCGTTTTACTACATGTAAAGCTTTTTTAAGCATTATATTTTTAGCTGACTATGTTTGTATTTAGTGCTTGTGTATTTTACTTGCCCTTGTATATTACATTCCAATTTTTAGTATGGTTATAGGCGGTGCAATAAGCTGGTAAACGCGTTGGGTTGCTTGACATTAATATGAAGTGCAGCATTATAGAGCTAGAAAATACTGATTCAAATCATTTTAACCATCCGCTTTTATACATCAGACAAAGCTTTTAGGCCGTGGTATCAGAAACTATATTTAAAAGGGCGGGTGTTTTAAAAACGCAAGGCAATTTTCATTAGTTATATGGACTGATACTTCGACATGAACTATACATTTCAAATTCAATGAATTGTGAATTGTTTGCAGAAAACTTAGTCTTTAGGGCAACGATGAATACAGATTAATATCATTTTCTTGCTTTAGATTTAGTGGGTCTTGGGCCTTAAATTGGTAATAAGTCCTATAAAATTGTATTTATTTGTTATTTTTTAATATTTGTGTAAATGTTATTGTTTGCCAGGTGGTGTGTTATTTTATTCTCGCCTCAGTATCTGTACAGTCCACCAATACCTATTGCTGAATATCTGCTTCCACTTTTATTCTGCTTTGTTATCACGTATTATCTCCTCTAAAGCTAAAGATGTGTAAAAACAATCGTAATGCGATGTCAACAGTCGAAACTAAAAGCTGTCACGACTGAAGTATGTTATATTTTTTTGACTTTCATATCATATCCGCATTTTTTCTTCCACCGCTCAACTTAAGAAATAAATGGCACATTTCAAACGTCTTCCTGCAATTAACAACTGAATCATGTATACCCTCGCTGAGTTTGGTAATTTGATTTGATTTGTTCCGATTTATGTTTCCAAGAATGTGACATGTTATAGCTTACATCTAAAAGTATTTAACAAATGCCTTTATTATTATTATTTTTATTTATTTGGCAAAACAAAATGTATACATTCAAACAGCCCACCTTTCATGATTGAGTTATGAAAGACATTGAAACCATCAGAGCGACAAGGGGTATGACTAATTTTGTTGTTTGCTATATATCCTAGCCATAAGGCTTCATCTAGTTTGGAGTTATACCATATATTAATGTTATACTTATTGTAGATATGTAGTCGTATGTTACTAAACACAGGGTAACTACTCATGTTTCAATTCGGTCATCTTATGGTCCTTAGATAAATGGAAAGAAATATAGTAAATAAACTCGAGGTGTTCATGGAAAACAATTAATTCATGTATCATTTGTGAAAAGGGTTAATTCGAGATGCGCAAATACACCGGCTATTTTTTTTAAAGCTGACTTTGTAGATTATATCCAGGAATTTTTACTAGCCTCCTATTATTTCATGTACAGATTTAGTTCTTATTGTTTGAGTGGGCGTGATTATAATAAAAAGATTAGAAAGAGAAATGGAAATGATGAATTATTCATTTACACTATTTTCATATCTTTCTTCATTTGAGTTACATTTAATTATTGCAATCTGTACGGAATAGAATCGTTTACACTGCACAATTCAATACCATATCATTCGTGTTATTTCAAGGTGTAAAGCTGTTGGGAAAATGTGTTTGCATTGAAGAATATCCCCCTTTTTGTACATCATTACATGCCTCTATTAAGTGCACATGGTATTGTACTTCCATTGATTGTTAATGTATTTGCGACATGTCAATACTGTGAACGCAGTGTGTGCACAAATAGCTCTTAACCTTTCGACCGAATAATTCTGTCACCCCTTCCCTAAACCAGGGACAGAATTCTTTGGTCTATTAAAGATCTAACTAATAGATCTAGTACTCGGCAAATTGTTCAACGTTAGATGGGTGGGTTTACTTTAGTCATTTGGCAGCAGTGACGTAATGAAAATGTGATTCACTTTACTTTTTAAAAAAACTTTATGTATCAGTAGGGGCTTAAACACCATCTTAAAATTCATTAAAAAAAACAATTTTCGAAGACTACTGGTTTTGATAGGAGTATACCATCGTTCAGTTGTCTCTTTGTAAATTAAATTAAATATTTTTTGACGATTTTATGAATTACCTATTTCTTATGTTAAAGACAATCAATAATAAATAATAAAGGTTACAATTACGTGAGTAATTCATTACTATGTTATTTTTACAGTGAATATGTACAGCATGTAGATACAAATGTGGAATTTATTGTGTATATTTTGATTAACTAAAGAAAGTTTATTTGTGCAGAAAGTGTAAAAATAATAAGTGCAATAAGTTTTTCCTGAGATAAATAAGCAATAGACATGTTCATTTTAATTTGCTGTTGTATATAATGAGTTTCAGGGCTTCCATTTAAGTTAGGTAGTTTTCACTTAAGCATCATATTCTGAATGCCTTTCTAAAGAATCAGTGGCAAATTGAAAAACAAATCGTTGGTGTTTCGGTATAAGCTTATTTTTATATATCTGTTAATATTTGCCATTCTGTTTACTAGGAATCGACGACGCATCATTTAAACGTAGTGTAAATAATTTATTTAAGTATCGACTTAGAAATTATTCTGTTATTTCTACCAATCGGTTTTGAAATATTTGCCATTACGTCTATGGTTATATCAATCAATCGTGTCATTTGTCGAGTGGTATCTTAAATTGCGCTTACCAGAAAAGCATATATGTAAATGAGAGGCCACGTTTCATATTACACATGTACCAGTTGAAATGACAGAAAAAATACCTTACTAAAAAACTTTAGTATTCTACAATCAAATCGTAATATATATGTGTATATAAAGAACCATGCAGGATGCCTTCATTAACTCGTGCAGTATTCAAACACCATGAAAGGTGTTAACAAGTGCCTTACCAATGAACGAACTTAAGTGGAGCACAAACTCAACTTATGATGTTAGTGTAATAAAGTAGAAAAAATAGGTCTGTTTGAAAATGTTGAGTACGTTATGTATCTAAAGGTATGAAGTAATCCTCAGAGGTTACGGGCAAATCCCACGAATACACAAAACTTGAATTGATCAATAACAACAACAAAGATAATAAACTTTATTTTGATCAATTTATGAAACTGATATCAATTCATCTTCCTGCTGTACAAGTAGAATTTTCATATATTCAAGGTTTCCTGAAAAATGCGAATTAATCTCTTAACAGTTTTCACCCATGGCTGGATGGAACCAAATGGTGCCTGTATAAGTATTTGAGAATAAGATAATCTGTGGCCAAATTTTAAATAAGGTTTAATAATAAAGGTTAAAGAACTAAAATGTGTTCTGAATGAGCTGCGCCATTATTTTTCTAATCTGTTGAAATACTGGACAATTTGGTAAAGTACGTGTCTTCCAAGAGTTATATTTCATGCTGTTGCCTATATTGTATAAATTATGGTTTAACTATTTTTCGAGTGTGGGTCAGAAGTACCGTACTGTTTTCATAATTATGTGATCGAATAAAATCAACAATCTTTCTTCAAATGATTATGGCATATTTTTCTTTCCTCTCGTTGTAAATTGGTGTTTCTCCTTTCTTACAAGATTGTGGACCACTTTATATACCATAATCCCAATCCTTAAACCCTGTTATCAATTAGAAGTCACGACGACTTGTGAAACCTACTGGATCATTACATCTGATTGACTGAGAGCAAATGTGTTAAAGCAGTTTGAAATTCGTATTTTTTATATTTTTTTTTATTGAACTGAGCCCTGATTTAACTTAGTCCACTTATTAAACGCTCTTACTGCGATTCTGTAAGAGAATGAATGAATGAAATGAAACCAGTCTTGAAATTAAAATGTGATTTCAAACTGAAATGGTTTGGTTAGCTCATTTAGCTGCAGAAAAAGTGGCACATTTTTACGGGATGACAAGGTTAACACATTGACTGAACAAAACTGAAAATATACCCACTTAAATCTGGAGGAGGCGTGCTCTAGCTATTTTGGAGGGATTTGGTCTTGTTTTCATTCTATAGTCACGTACCTCCCTTTAAAATCAGTTATAATCACTTTTTGTTCGGGGGCGGGTTCTAGTTGTTATTTTTAAAATGTATTCCTATTTCTGTGTACACTGGTCAAGGGATATACGTTTCTCCCCTTTATAAAAGTAACTACCATCCAGATGAGTTTTCAGGTATTAGAGCAAAATACATGTGTTAGGCCAGGTAAAATTGATTCCTTGTTTCTTGTCCAGATTTTTCAAAAATTAGGAAGAGTTTTTAGAGGAGATTTAATAAATGCTTTTGACAGTTTTATTTACAAAGAAATCTCTATTTCAAAACAAGTGTAATCAAAATTGCATTTAAACGTGCTTTAAAGAGGCTGAACCGCTGAAGACAAAGTGAAGTTGCATTGACGGTGTCCCTGATCTATCCCATTGTTGAAATGTCTTTGAATTGTTATTTATTCCATTTCAGGATAACATACCAAAACAAAAAACACTAAAGGAAGGCCTAGAGAATGGTAATCTAGAACCTTATTTATTTTTTCTTCATGGGATGTACGTCACGGGCAAGAGACAAAGCATTGCGATTGCAAGAAAACAGCTCGCACATAAGCTGTTTGTCCAAGAAATCTAAGAGTTTCGTTATACTCGTCCTTGTCTTGTTTGTATTCTACGTGTACAATCCAACGCCGTGTTTGTTTTAAGTCTTGATCGTTTTGTTTTTTTAAACCGTGGGTATATTCCCCGTTAGACCTTCTCTGAAATCATGTGATTGTCTTGTCGATTGTGATCAAACCCGTATAAGTCATAGAGCAGACGGTGTATATAGTATGTGTCTTACAATAAATAAAACCAAAGAGAGAGAGAGTAAAGTATAATCGACAGAAATGAAGACAAAAATAATTTGTACGTTGTTTCATGTCAACACGAAGTGCAACTTCATAGTTTAGGGGGGGGGGGGGAATAACAAACATAAATAGAGTATGCAAAGATGAACTTGGTATGTTTCTCCAAAAAAACACTGCTGTAATGTCGCCTTCATAAACTATTTTCAATGTGATTTTTGAAGAGTTCTTGATACTCAATCAATATTTTCTCACCTTTTATATACTCAAACAAAATCATTTTCAGAAATTGTATTCTCATTTCCAGGAGTGTTGAATTCCTATTCATATATTATCATTATTACTTTTTTGGTGGAGGGTGGGGGAGGAATAGCCCTCTAAAAGGATGTACATACTTGAAGTGTGCAAGCCTTACCACTTTAACTGATCGCTTTACGTAAATACGGATCACCGAACAATGGAGGTACAAGGAAACACTAATATAAATATTGACACTTCTCTCGTTTGTACACACAAAGGGCTCTTTGGGTTTCCCTTAAAAATACAAATGTTTTGGTTCAACAGTTGAATGTACCCACTATGTATCTTGCTCATTTCTTATGATTCCACCGTTTGAGAAAGGTTGATGATTCAGTGCGTTCGGAAGATCATTGTTGGATGGAAGCCATGCCACTGTCATTGTACTTTACAGGTGAGTGGATAGCTTTTAACAGATTATTGTGTCTGTATGCTATTGCGTCACAGTATAAGCCTGTTTATTTTCATCACAAATTCAATATCAGTTTCTGCTAATGTTTTGACAAAAGGCATTGATTTGATCAGTGATATGTGTGTTTTCCCTTGGTTTTTAAACATTGGCTAGAGTTCAATTACATGGCTATGTTGTACACATTATCATTATGACGTCAAATCCATTTCCCTTCAGTATATAGTTTCTCCATGTTAGACCCCGTTCTCACTCACTTTGAAAGTGGTCTTAGTTAGACCGCTCCAGAGGAACGGGTCTTGAGGAACGGTTTGCGAGCGTTCACACTCCGAGCAGTTTGTTATGGCTCAAACCGCTCCACGAGTCAAAGTGGTCTTGTTGCTATGGCAGCTCAGGTCAGCAGGTCAATTTTTTCGTGCATGGAATACAAACCGTATGTACCGTACTACATGTTTCGCACGGAACATCACTAGCTCACTTCCGGTCAAAGTACGCTTCCGTTCACATTGCACGTTAGAGCGGTCCAAACCGCTCTTAATAAGACCCGTTCCTCAAGACCACCTCCCGAGGTGGTCTTCTGGAGCGGTCCAGAAGTCCACTTCCTGGACCACTTTGACCATTCTCACTCACCTAAGAACTGCTCCTGAGGAACGGGTCTTAGTTAGACCGCTCCAACGAAGTGAATGAGAACGGGGTCTTAGGCTACTATTCAACTGTTTTACCTTTTTAATGCACGCATTTTTAACCTTCTCATACTATCTTTCTCTAACCCACCACTATCTTTACTTGTCGTTCAGCCTTGTATGTAGTTGGAAAACAATCTCATTATTTGTGCCTAGATATAGTCATATAGTTTTATCACCCTGTTGGTCACACTAGGATACGACCCAAAATATGCGTTCTTTTTTGTATACAATTGACTAGGATAGAAGCGAATGGCCGTACTAATATTGTACTGATAATACGTGCTTTGGTCTGGTCTTAATTT